CTGCTTGACCTTCTGACGAGGGCGATGCAAATATCTCCTGCCCAGAACACAGAAAGGAACTCATGCTGAGAATGATCAAAGCACAAGGTCTCTCTATCTGACAGCAAATGAAGGTCCACCAGTCCAACAATTACCAGGTTCAGATTTCAAAACGCACTTTGTGCCACTCTTTGTGCAGTGTTTCCAGATTGAGCAGTTTGAAGTCACTGAATTTAGCTAGTTTTGATTGAACTGTGCGAAAGGTGTGCTTGGGAAGGTAGACGCAAAAATATTTTGTGATGATTTGGGTGCATTTTAAAAGAAATATAAAATTAAATAACAAAAAAGATGTTCGATGCGGTCCATAAGCTGTGTTGCCAAATTCTGAATGTTCTACACAGGTAACTTATACACAAGTGACTTACACAGTTTGGCAGTAAAACAAGTTTCTTAGCAAAGTGAGAAGAAATGAAAGAAAGCCTTCAAAAATATGGTACAATGACCCTGAAAGTCATATTCTGATGGCCATATGAGACTCTTAATAAAATGGAGAAATGTTGCATCATGGGACTTCTCCCCTGACCAGGCCATGTTTTAGATGTGGAGGCCTGTAGAGATGCTGGAAACCAGTGTTTCCAGGATGAATCACTTTTGGTGATCAGATCACGTATTCCTCGATGCACAGGCTTATACAGAATGAATGGCCATCAGTTGTGTTCCAAATTCTAAAAGCGTTTTTGCTCTATGAAAAAATAGACTCATTTAACTGAAGGTACTAAGGTTTAGACTGGCAATCTGGCAACCGTATCTGTGTCGGTGTGTGGTTGTCTAAGTCTGACAGGGACAGTCTGAGAGAAGTCACTTATAATTACAGCAACAAGTAGCTTGGCTTCATAGCTATACTTTCTTTCAAACACAAGGGAAAATACACATTTGTGTGAACTGAGCACACATTCACATTTGTAATGACAGAGTGAAGAGGAAGGGTGACATCATAGTTTAGCACAGCTCTCAGCTTGTAAACAGTTTACACTTCACTCTCATTATACTTTCTGTTTTGTAACGGAATACATTTAGGCTCAAAATCTGATCTGGGAAAAACAAACAATAGGCTAAAAATAGAGAAGAAGAGAAGTAAAGTAGAACTTGGATTATCAAACATAAGTGGTAGAGCTTTTAAGACAGTGTTTATGTCTTCTGGATAACTGATGGAAAAACACACCAGCACACACATACACATACAAGCATTAATCCTGCACTACGCTGTTAACATGGGATCTTGTCAGTTTGCAATCATGCAAAATCTCTCTTCCTAACAACAGCTCCAACTGTCTCCTAACTGCCATGGATTACATGATGTGATTCCCTAAATCCAATCCCATATAGCACACCATTACACACTATTGCTGCAAAGTCTGGCTTTACATCAGTAATCAGCAGTACACATAGAGGCCTACTCACTGATACTAATAAGGACTTGACAAATGCTACAGAATCTATGAGATGAGGCAGGACTTCACTAATGGATTATGTTGGGAAAATATTGTCAATTGACTGAATTCATTCCGATTGATGAATCTGAATGTAGTGTTTACATGAACGCTAAATAAAGTGATCGGGTTGATGTGCGCGTTTATATGTCACAAGCTTCAAATCGGAATAGATTTTTTTTTTTACATGCGCACACTGCACAAATAAAGAGTTTCTCACTGTTTGCACATAATAACCACTCTACTACACGGTTTCTTTATTTGTTTTTAACAGCAGAATTAATATGTATCCATTTATGGATAAATATACATATAAACCTCTGTGCTGTGCTGCTCATATTTATCACGCAGTAAAAATGCCCCTCCCTGCGCCCAAAACGGGTTGCCTGTGGATGAGAATCCAAAACAAGGACTGGTGGGAGGTTGTCCTGCTCCACTTCACAGTTGCCGAGTGAAAGGAGAGTTTTATAATGACAGGACATGCATTTATACAACACTTTATTCAAAAGGAAGAGCCGTTCGTTCAGCGCGTCATACGTCATTACGCTATTTCTGCGTCATTGCACATGCGCAGTCCTTTCAGTTTCGGGGTTCAATCCGATCAAGTGTTTACATGCACTCTCAATCGTATTAGAAAAGGAATAAACCACCCCCTTCAATCCGATTGAAATTTAATTCCGATCGAGCTCAATCGGATCGATTAAGGTGTTTACATGAAGGCTTTTCAGTCCGATTGAGCCGTCAATCCGATTACAAACGGATTATTTGGTTGCATGTAAACGTAGCCACTGAGAACTGACCCACGAGATTAGGCACAGACAGCACATTCCAAAAAATATTCCTTTAAGCAGTCACAATAAAACCTTTCATGGTTTCAGGTTTCTTTCAACAAAACAGATATTTTTTGTGGGGAATTAATCGTTTAGATTAATCAAAATAAAAATAGTCGTTAGTGGCAGCCCTAGCAAATATTGCTGCAAAATTTGCAGCATCGTGCCATGACCTGAGGGACAAACACAACCCAGAAACACACCGCCAATAGACACGCTCTCACAGGCCAAAACTGAAATACTGTTACTCATGTACTAGGGCTGCACAATTAATCGAATTTCTAATCGCGATTACAATTACATAATCGTTCAAAGCGGCAATTAATCGTTCAAAGTTCACTTATGTTATTCTGTGTGCTTAAGATGCATTTTTTTCTTTCTACATTTTATCTTAAGGGTTTTTCCCATTATTTTAATTTTAGTTTTAGTATAACACAGGGGTAGGCAAGTTCGGTCCTAGATGTTTCAGGTTTCTTTCAACAAAACAGATATTTTGTTTAGTTTGTTGATTTTTACACTCTTTCTGAGTCTTAGAATTAAACAAGGAACACTGTCTTTGAAATGTGGTTAAAGTGTACTGCTGAATGTATTGACAAGCATTTATGGTAAACTAAAATATACTTTAATGTAGAGCTGCACAATTAATCGAATTTCTAATCACTTTTTTATAATTTAAAGAAGAAACCAATCTGATTTATAGTTGACATTTGAGGCTTAATACTATAGAAAAGCAATAAAAGTTTTTCAGTTAGAGTGTTTTCAGCTGGTTTATTTTCATATAAAAATACGGCTTGCAGTTGCATTAAACAATGGTATAAACATCATTCAATGTAAATTGTGATAATCGTAATTAATAATCGCAATTACAATTTCAAGGGAATAATCGACAATTATTTTTGTCATAATCGTGCAGCCCTACTTTAATGTCATTTCTATTGAAACTTTTATGTCATGTATTTCAGTAAATTTGTAATGATAGTTGCAATTTGGTACATTTAAAATATATATTGTTTTTAAATGTAATATCAAAAACAAACTACAGTTTAAAATTTGAATTGTAAGTATGTAACACATGTACCTTAGTGTTAGTAGTAGTAATTTATTTTTATTGCCATGTCAGCATCTAAGGCTTTTTTCATGGCAAGTACGGAGTTGGAATAAATCTACAAACACAAAATAAAACCAAATAAGCACAAAAATACAGCAGATAAAATTCTACAAGATTTTTTTTAATTAACATATGATAAAAAAAATCTAAAATCTTCAGGTAAAATTTTACTAAACAAGTCCCTTAGTGTGTTACTCAACACATAAAAAAGGTACTATAAAGCATGACAAAAAAAATATTAAAATATTTGGTTAAGAATTTTAAGTAAAACTTTCAAATGTTTAATTTGACATTATTATAAAGTGTACCTAAAGTATGTTAAGAACGTGTGCTCTTTTTAAGTACTATTATATAGTATTTTATTCATCAATATTATATAATCTGCAAGTACAGGTGTTTAATATATATATTTATTTATATTTAATAGATATCTTTAAGATTTGAGTTAAACTACAATGTCTCTGTTCAATGAAAGTCAATAGGGTTCTGTATCAATAATGCATCCAGGTTAGGAACAAATAAAAATAATTTAAAAGTTGTAAATAAAAGATTACTCAAGTTAAAAAAAAAAAAAAGCCATTTCAATTAAAAAAAAATACTTCAAAATATCACATTTAATTCAATGTGTATACTTGCCGTTTCTTTTGTTCTTTGTTTGTTAAATGTACTAGCAATTTCTGAGTGGAAATTGTTTCTACACTATTGGTGAAATGGCAGATTTACTATCCCTTTAACAAATCCCACATCCCCAGTAGTGGTTTAACTGCGCTGGATCATACACTGATGGTAATCAATAGGGTGTTTGATTGATTACGTCCAGCACTGAACCCTCATGTGGCTTAACTCAGCCCTAGCGTATGAGGTCTGTCCTGAGAAGCCTTCAAATAAAGGCAGAAAGTGGATCACTCTCCATCCACTTTGAGGATCAGCACTGATCTGCTAAAGCAGGTGAGTCATGAACGAAAATAAAGGTACAAATGAGCAAATGCAGATCAGGTCAGAAAATGGAGTGAAGGCTAAAACTCGGATGCTCAGAATACATTGACCTGTCTGTACTGTAATGAGATTAGCTCCTGCACAGGTAAACGGACCGGGATTACTGAGAGATCAGACTCCATACAGTTATAACTCTCCAGTGGAAGGGTCAATCCCATAACGCAACACAAGAGTCGGACGCTTTAGCTGCCTCCTCTACAATTAGACTGAGCAGAAATAGGCCTCAGTCTGCATTGAGCAAACTAAAACAGTCAAGGATTTTACTTTTAAAATAGTAAATGCTTAAAAGGTTGGATGTGTTTGAAGATGGACCATGTTTTGTAATGATCAGCATATTCTGGTTGGTCCAAAGATGGTATAAGGAGGAAAAGACAGACCGGTCGTAAATAATAAAAGGGACAAATCGTAACCCTCAAAATAGTTGTTGCAGAAATTAACTCAGTTAAAAGAGAATTAAAGATCCTCTCTTGTCTGGCCTGGTAACCGAAAGGTAACCATTAAACCACAAGGGGGATTGTGTCTGAAATCAGTCTACTGTAAATTGTGTACTGTAAACTTTATTGTAAACAGGAATAAAGGCAAAGACAAAAGACTTACCTGAGAGCTCTGCTGAGTTTGTCGTAGTTCATCTGAGGTTTGCACTTGCGGGCGCCCCACAGCCTGGCCACCTCATCAGGGTCTTTGATCACAAACTCCCCGTAATCTCCTTGCCAGGCAATCACATCATGATACTCCTCCTTCCTCAGCAGCTCTAGGATAAAGTGCCACAGCTGGATCTGTCTGGAGCCAGGACTGGACTCGGGCTTATAGGCCCAGTCTGGGAACGTAAGCCCTGCAGAGATGGAGAGAGCAGAAAGGAGAGATCAGACCATGGTTGATATGTACTCTATATTGCATGTATATCATATCAAGGTTTGACCTTGGCCATGGACAGATCCTATTCCCCTACTTTTCAGTTTACATATAAAATAAAGCCCAAATCCTCTAAAATAAAATTACAACTCTGGCCAATACCAATAAATGGCCAATATTAAAATTCTTTACAACTTTATCTAAATAAATTGAAAATAAAACCACACAAATTACAATTACTGTGAATTATAGCATCATCACAACATTATAATATGAGCATGAAAAATGGATATATTTACTTTCCTAATATACAGATTTATAGATTTATATATATAGATATATATACGGTATATAGATTTCCTAAAGATTACAATTAACAGTGCTATTACCATTGGGTTTTTAAAAAATTTACTTAAAAATAGTGGAAATTGGCAAAACCATAAAGTTTCCAGTATTGACCAATATATATCCCTATTTGTATTCATGCATTAATTATAATTATGAATTATTACTTTTTTTAAATTACAAGGTTGGAGGTTACTGGAAATTGGCATTTATTATTAGGTCAATTCAGTCTATACATTTATCTGTGTCAGGTTCCAATAGCACTAGTTAACCATCTTTTTTACTTAACATTAAAATTATTTTACAAGCAAGTAACAGAGAATTAACGGCATAAAATGCATATCTTTCATGCAATGCAAGTCATTTTAGAAAAAAAGCTTCTACCGAATGTATAAATGTAAATCTTCAAAAAGCTCTATATCGTCACATCTCTTATCATCAATCACCCTGAGGTCTGATTTGAGAGTCACCAGCAACCTCACTCTCAATCTAACACACAATCTGATGCGATTGGCATATTCTAGAATCAAGAAATCTGATGATAATTTAGATAATTTGAAAGGGCTGCAGAGAGGATGGAGGGTGTCCAGTCACTGAGGGTGAGGACGGGTGAAGTGGGGTCAGGCAGGGTCAGGTTAGGCTCAGGCTGGTAAATGTCGGATAGGGTAACGGCTCACAGTGGTTCCTCAACAACTGATCCTCTTAACACTCAGTTTCACACACAGAGGCCCTTCTCTCTCACACACACACACACACAGACACACACATTTACTTGGCTATGTAAATCGGGACATTTTATAGACTTCTAGTTAAATACTATAACCTAACCCTAACTTACAACCAAAGAGGAAACTTTCTGCATGTTTACAGTAAAAAAAACAAAACAACTTTATTCATTTTATACCACTTTTACAAATGAAGACATCTCCAATAGCAGGTTTCGTCAGATTTGGCTCACTTATGGTTACAAATATGTCCCCAAAATAATGTTAAGTAGGTACACACCCAAACACAGGGAAAGTTTTTCTTTACCAGACAGCTTTACTTTGTGATTTAACCATTATTCAAACTGTCTAAACGATCTCTAATGGAGCTACCTTGAGTTTAAATGCATTTAAACCTTCATTTCATTCTTCAATTCATTCCTGCAGAATAAAATATTTAGAGAGTCTTTTCTCTACAAAACCATTCTCATTTATACCTTTATAAGGCATTTGGGATACTTTTTTTATCCATTTAGATCAGACTATGCAGAGTTTAAAATCAACCTTGAATCAGTTTTGCTTTTATTATAAATGATACAAACACTCCTCAACAACTTCCGACAATTTACTGATTCGTAGAATCAGACAAATCACTTCCTCTTGATGACTCAACAGATCTAAAATACACACTCAAGTGGTTGTTTTTCCTGTTTCTACCTACCAACAACCTGAACAATATTTTTTCTTTCTTCAAGACAGGAAACCAGTGAAAAACAGTGCCTTTTCTATACATTTTGAGAGGCAGTTGATAAATAAATGTCAATGTCTTTTTACACTCGGACTGGAAAGATGTTTATCACACTTTTACCTTCAGCAAATGAACAGAAGTAGATTTACTGAACACTGAGCACATCCTATAACCTCTACTTGCTCTCAAAACATCACACACAGACACACAAACTCTTAGAGGGTACATCTGATTGCTCCTTTAAGAGGTCAAATGTACCATGCACCAGAGAGCGAAGTCTGACTTCAGGAACTGCAGACGGGGATCTGGTTTCACAGCTCACATTCTCTCTCTCTCTTTCACACATACACACACACACACACACACACACACACACGTGCACACACATGAAAAGGATCCATGCTAAGAAGTTTGAGCTAAATTCAATATGTCTGTCAAACTCCCTGATGAACAATGAAGAGGAGACACTATGAGTCACACACACACACACACACACACACACACACACACACACACACACACACACTCACCAGCAGGCACAGATACAGTTACTGCTCTATCGTAACACACAAACATCAGTGTTGATTCACATTCAGATCTGCAATCACTCATACAATTCAACTCATCCAGCGCTCTGATTCAGGTGTGATCTGAATGAATGTGCTGTCCCAGTCGAATGATCTCTATATTCGTCTCAGGATGAACGGCTGTGAATAAACTAACAGTGAGCTCATGTTTTAGGATGAAACCTCTTCAGGCACTGTGTGTGTGTGTGTGTTATTAATCATGTTACAGGTGATTACAGAGTGTCCCAGCATAAATGCTCTGTAATGACCCATGTTTCACACCCACATTGTATCACACGACACCCCTGCATTTCTCAGAAATACACACCTATACATACTAACACAAGTATGAAAACTACTGTTTAAAAGTAAGGGGTCTGTAGGATTTTTTTATGTTTTTGAAGCATTTTAAAAGTATTTTATGCTCTCAAGGCTGATATATTATTATTTATTTATTTGACAAAATAATATTGTAAATTTTTTATTTTAAAATTTTATTACATTTTTTCATATCTTTTAATTTCTTTGTAAAGCCATTACTTTAGTCTATAGTGTCACATAATCCTTCAGAAAACATTTCATTATGCTGCTCTGGTGCTTAAGAAACATTTCATATTATTGTTAGTTGAAAACAGTTGCTTAACGAAGTGTGAAAAGTGTGAATGCGTGTTCTTTAATGAACAGAAAGTTTGAAAAAAAGTGTTTATTTTAAATAGAAATATTGGTCACACTTTATTTTAAGGTCAAATTCTCTGTATTTACAAACCATTAACTATGACTTTTGCCTCAATAAACTACTAATATGCTGCTTATTAATAGTTAGGTAGTTGTTAAAGGTGCAGTAGGAGATCTTGGAAAATGCTAACTTTAGCCTGATAGCACTGAAAGCGAACATCCCACCCTCCCTGCAATCGCCATCCAAAGCCACGCCCCCTGAATGCATATAAGCTCACAGACCAGAATACCAGAGACAACATTACTACAATAGGCTACATCAGCGGTTCCCAATTCCAGTCCTCGCACTGGATGTGAAGACATGTGTGTGTGGGTGTGATGTGTGTGAAGACGCTGCACAGCGCAAATCCGTGAATGAATGTTCTGAAGTGAAGTAAACTTCAACGGATTTCCCCTGCTCAGAGAATAGGGAGCAATGAACACAATGTAGGGATCATATTGATCGGAACATAGTTCATGCACGTAGCTCACTTCTAACGAGCTGGTTATCTGAAGCGGGTGTGTTAACTAAGCGAGACATGCAAAATATGCAGAGCGGGGGGCGCGAGGACTGGAATTGGGAACCGGTAGGCTACATCATGTGTCATTCACCTGTGCGAAGACTTTAAAAGTACTACAATACCAGGAAGGAAGATCGGGTTGTTGATGTTTGTCTGCAATTCTCGCTCTGTCTCCACAGCGTGCGTGAACGCGCTGATGACGTATCCTGTCTGCGCGAACAGGGTGAGCAGAGGGATGCTAATACATACTGTACGTTGACAGGCAGGTAGGAAAGCCAATTAAAACGCTCGGACCGAGCGTTTTGATTGGACGAACATTTCTTGGTCCTACGCCTTCCACAGAATATATAAATACAGATAAGTACATTTGGCCCACTTAATTTAATGATTGCTATCGGGATGTGAAGAGACTTTCAACCAGCATAACAAAAAATGTTTCTGAAGGCAATCACCTAGTGCACCTTTAAGTTTAGATGTTGGGTAGGATAAGGGATGTAGAATATGGTCATGCAGAATATGTGCTTTATAAGTACTAATAAACAGCCAATATGTTAATAATAGGCATGCTAATAAGCAACCAGTTAATAGTGAGAATTGGTCCCTATACTAAAGTGTTACCGAAATATTTCATGGTCAATTATCAATTTAGTGCATCCTTGCTGAAAAAAGTATCTTTTTTTGGCCTGCAAATATGGAATGGATGACGCATCCGCAGTTTTACATCACAAAAAGTTTTGTTTCACAGTGCAAACAAAAATACGCAAGAACCTTCACATAATCCAAGGTCGAAATAGCTGAATAAGCTTTTATTTTACAACATTTTAATAAAAGCGACCAATCATCACTAATGTTCATCACCAACTTCAGATTTAAAGGAAACTAAGTCTTTACAAATTTCTTCTTTGTGCACATCCACAGAAAATAAAACCTGCACTGGTTGACAATGACGACGCTAAAGGTTGTTCTGATGGCATTTCATTTTCCCAGACAAAAGCCTCTTATACTAGTAACTAGGTTATTATTCCCCTTTATTCTAATTCTATTGGCGGATTAGGACACACATATTTTAATAAACCTTTAAATTGGGATGTTTACACAAAATTTACCAAAAAAAAAAATTTTATTTTAATTTTGAACTGAAATGAATCAAATCGGATTGTGTCGAAAGATTCCGACCCCTAATAATATAGGGTTCTATGATTTACGCAATGCAGAAATTTGGGGAAAATTAAATCAATTTCATAGGACTCTAAAAACTTCAGTCTAAAATCAAGCCCTAATGTAAAAATCTAACAAGCCATGGAAACTGTACATAACTGACAATTTCTTGTTTTTGAAAGTAAAAAAACATGAAGTCCACGTGTGTGATGATGAGTTGTGTG